ATCCTGTTCGCTGACGATGCTGCCGCCATGCAGCAAGTGAAGGACGCCCTGCATGCGCGCCTCAAGTGCAAGGACCTGGGTGAGCTCAAGCACTATCTGGGCATGACCATCACCCGGGACCGCACATCGCGTACCATTACCCTCTCTCAGTCCTTCTACATCGACCAAGTCTTGCAGCGGTTCGACATGGCGCAGGCCAAGCCGGTTACCACTCCCCTGCAGACCGACCACCAGCTTGCCCCTCCTCCTGCTCCCTCCTCCTCTGACCATCCTTACGCTGAGCTCGTCGGCTCGCTGATGTACGCTATGATGTGCACCCGCCCCGACCTTGCCTACCCCATCAGTGTTCTTGCTCGATTCGTCGGTACCGGTCGCCACACTGATGAGCACTGGGCTGCAGCGAAGCGGGTCCTCCGCTACCCTCCGTGGTACCAAGGACTATGTCCTCACCCTCGGAGGCTCTTCTCCTCCCCTCCTCTCTGGCTTCAGTGACTCCTCCTGGGCTGACTCCCAGCCGGATCGCCGTTCCTCTCAAGGCTACGGCTTCACCCTTGGCAGCGGCCTCATCAGCTGGCGCTCCACTCGCTCCTCCTCCATCGCCCTCTCATCATGCGAGGCTGAGCTCTATGCTTGCACCATGGCCGCTCAGGAGGCTCGCTGGCTCACCTTCCTCCTTGCTGAGATCGGTGCTCCTCAGCGCTGTCCCACCCTCTGGTGCGACAACGCCAGCACCATCCATCTCACAAAGGACCCTGTCTTCCATGGCCGCTCCAAGCACATTGAACTCCGCTACTTCTTCGTTCGAGAGTTGGTCCAGCAAGGTCACTTGGTGGTCCGCAAGATCGCTGCAGAGGCCAACTTGGCCGACATCTTCACCAAGGCCTTCCCGAAGACCGCGCACTCTGCCCTCCTCCGCCTTCTCGGCCTTGGGCCCCGCCCCCCTTCCTGATTCTGGGGTTGTGCCCTACATATACACTAGCTTTGCATGCTATGGGGTTGTGTTAGAATATACTATGCTATGCTAGTTGTGTATATTGTGTTTACATCCCTAGTTGGGTGTACACCTGTGTTGGGGTGTCAATCCAATCCAATTGTGGTTGGAGCCCCCAAACACAAGGACCACAATTGTGGGGGCACCACAAGTGGGTTGGCTAAACCACTGGTGGTACACCACACTTGGACCACCTCCAACTGGTGGTCAACCACATTTGGAAGGATCCTCCCTCCCTTGTGATTGGTCCTAACCCCCCTTTCCCTTCCAACCTTCCCTTCCTAGCTCATCTCTCTCTTCCTATGTAATGCCCTTGCTTCATCAATAAACTCAACCTTTCTGTTTCTAACATCTTCGACATTCTTCGATGAGAACGATTATACGTCAAATTGTCCAAAAGCAAATTTGCCTTCGAGAAGGTCCAATTCCTATGACACATGGTGAGCGCTCAAGGAGTTCACGTTGACCCCAAGAAAATCGAAGCCGTACGCACGTAGAAGACACCCAAGAACGTGAAGGAGTTGCAGCAGTTCCTAGGCTTCGCTAACTATTACAATAGGTTCTTGCCACAGTATGAGAAAATCACAACACCACTCACAAAACTGTTAAAGAAGAACACGCCCTATAAATGGGGACCAAAATATCAGGAAGCCGTTGTGAGATTACGACCCCATTACACCACTTTCCCCTTTTCATTTTTTCTTTCTATTTCATGCCTCTTTTTAACCTGATTCACTTGGTCTTTATCTCATCTCATTTGGTTTCCTATTCCTCATTTTCCATCAACCTTTGGTTGATCCTGTTATTATAATTACATCACCGACCCTGCTCGGGATCTACTGGCGCTCTATATCTAGTTTAATCTTGTCATAATCCCTTTAAGCCAATAGCCTCGCATGGCTACGCAGGGTGATTCTATTTCTAGAAGGGTCTATTCTCATTGGATAGGATAAACCTGGTTACCTGATGTCATCTGGAAGTATAAAAGCGCCTTGCACTCATGGATAGTGCAACATTAAGCAAACCTCATTCGATCTTGTGACACTTGGTAATTAGAGCCAAGGTTTCAGCTCAACGCTTAATCGCTGGGCCCCCAGGAGCACGCCGAGGATGGAGTCGAAACTTCATCTCCTGTAAGTACAATGGTCTTTCGTTTTAAGTCTCGACTAGCCTCACGCAGTAGCACCTGGGGTCTCCTTCGAAGGCGAGATGCCTTGCCGACCGTTCGATGGACTGCATCGATGGAGCCGATTTTTTTTCGGGGGGGAAAAGGCCTCGACCTTGCGAACGCGTCAGTTCTGGCGGAACACTCCCAGCGACATTCCAAGAAGTTCGCAGTTTGCTACGACACTTGGAGTTGATCCGAAATGTGCGGAGCTGTGACCGATGACATCCATCCGATGGAGATTCGACGCTTCAGATCGACCGAGGCGAAAACGAAATTCTTCTGAGCGAATTCGAGTTTCAGCGCAAATGGGAACGGGACCTCGCAGGCTGCGAAATTCATCGGAGCGTCCGATCGTTCAACATTCAAAATCAACAACCAAGAATGGCTGCTGGAAACGAGTCGACCCGGACACCAAAAGCTGCTGAACGCGACTTAGGAATATCTTCAGATCGCTTGAAGTTTGGACCGTCAGATCGACTTCAGCTTCAACGGACGAGATGGAGCGCTAGTTCTACACAAATAGAGAATGACGCGAAGAACAGAATATCAGCCGCCTTCGACACCGTTGATATCACAGGACAACCAAATTCGGATTCCTCTATTTGGTCAAGAATTTGGCGCGCAAGTCATCTGCAGAGTCAGAAATTTGCCATATAATTACCTAGTTGGTAATAGCTGCTAGCAGAAAACTGACAAGAGAACGTGGATCGTCAGATTGGTGCGGAATCAACGGCACCAATGCAGCGTTAACAACACTATGAAAAATCATCATCATGGAGACATCATTCGTGAGTAGCGATTGCACAATCGACGCATCTTCTGACTAGTATCGATAACGATCTATTTATTTTGACGAAGTCTTCTTCGTTAAAAATGGATCGATATTAACACAGTGAGATCTTCACCCAAGAGAAACAATGGAGCTGCATGAAAACATGTTCTCCATCCACAAGACACTTCTTCACATAAATTGATCGACAAGCTATGGGATTGCAGAGAAGTAGCGGTTTTCTCTTGCAATATTCCCAACACCAAGTTTCTGCGAAGGAGCATATTCCGCACGCAATGACGACGCAGTGAACCCGTCTCATCAAGGCCAGCAAGACACTACTTCGTAACAGGTCTGACCGATTCGTCTTCATCAAGAATCTCAGCCATCCAAAGGGATTGATAGGAGCAGTCTCAACATCAACCTCACGAGGCGACACCCCAATCATGCGTTACGATTCCAGGTGTTAATGACCTGCGCGGATTTTTTTCCGTGCATGTTACGATGCTTGAAAGATTGAGGAGTAATTAACCACAAGATTGAGGCGATTCTATCACCAGTATGATCATAAAGACCGTGCCACGTACAACATTGATTTCCAGCTAGTGGGAAGGAGATACCACTATGCGAGGGAACAATATGGCAATACCATATACCCTCAAGAGCAGGAGATATTTGCTCTTATGAGGATGGGAGGACAACGGTACTCTATCGGTATACAAGTCCTCATGGCCTATGGATTTTCTTAAAGTCATAAAACCTGCGTCACAACTAATCCATCACCAACACCACCTCCACATAAGTAGATAGGCGTGGAATGGAGCGCCGATGCCACTCCAGATAATAGACTCCGCGTATCTCTAACAACACCCCTATTTGCCAAAATGGAGCAGACTTCAACATTGATGCTGAGTAGCTGAGACGTCTTCGACATCAACGCTACTTCAAGAACGGTGACAGAATTAGACAACACATGATGGCACCAGAAGACCTATCCCAATATGTGCGCCCAGACACCGATGCCTACCGATGGCCTCCGTGCTAAACTGGACATGCATAAGGTCATACTGGATTGGCTGTCAGCAATGCTCATTTGGAAATGGGAGAGGATTATTTGGGAATAGCCCTAACATTCCCAGATGCCCTAACCCATCACCGTGGGATATCTACGAAGCTGAGATTCCTTGCTTGAGCAGCCACCGAGGGAAACTACTTTGGCGCTGATTCTGGAAGTTCCCCGCGTTAATGGCACCAGCCCCTTGCATGGTTCTTAACACAAGGGATATGCTGAGCAGCACTTTGCATGTGGTGTTGTATTCAAGGCAGTGTGACTAGCAGACAGCGTGCTAATGAGAGCTTTCGACAACACTAAGGCATGGACCAGCATTCGACAGAAGCTGCATGTATCGGATACAACGCTGCTACAGAAGCAGGACTATGACACGACTGCAACACCGCCAACACTTAGTCATCTTCATACGTGGACGGGTTGCGAGTAACATCAGGATGTGCTACCCGAGACTCAACGCATGCTACAGTGTGCCAGTTAGAGCACCCACCGAAAGGACAGTACATCTACTCTTCCGCTACAACATCTCGATCATGATCAACGCCATCCGCGTACCATCTACAGACGCAACCCGCTCACACCACAGCACCCGACAAATCCATTTCATCACCGTTGTCCATCAGCTCTGACACCAGACACGCCACTTGGACATCCAACAGCAGCAGAAGCACTTGGCTGCTCATCATGACATTTATTCACACCGTAATATCGACATCAGCCGTCTTCCATCCAAGCTTTAACCTTGCTTCTGTCGGTCTATCCTCTTCGAAGCAACCGTCACTTCAGTCACCTTCCGCTTCCGCCTACCAGCTACTTGGAAGATCCTTCCATACCAACTTCTAAAACCCTATCAAGACCAAACACGCTCTACACCGAATGCCAACCACTGTCGCCGCCCGTGTTCGTCCACGATATGGGAGAACTACGTGCTCGGATGTCGTCGTCAGAATGGTACTCTAGAGCGTCTTCTTTGCTGGAAGGGTTCTGATCCTTCTGAGGCTGCGTCTATGAATTCGACATGGAAAACGCCCGTCGTCCTCTTCGCCACAACCTTGTCAAGCTGGGTGTTACTTCTACCACCCAGCTTTGAGGGGGGGAAATGTGAGAGTACGATCCCGTTACACCACTTTCCCATTTCCATATTTCCTTTCTATTTTATTCCTCTTTTTATCCTGATTAATTTGGTCTTTATCTCATCTTATTTGGTTTCCTATTCCTCATTTTCCATCATTCTTTGGTTTATCCAGTTATTATAATTATATCAGCGACCCAGCTCAGGATGTACTGGCGCGCTATGTCTAGCGTAATCTTGTTGTAATCCCTTAAAGCCAATAGCCTCGCGTGGCTATATGCAGGGGTCCACCAATCGGGCTTGGTAGAGCAGCGAAACCATGGATGCCCTTCTTCCTTGCAATATCAGCACTCTCCCCTCAAGCGTGGTTCACTGTTGTCATTGTTGGAGTGACCACCTCTTCCTCTTGCACCAGCGCCACCACGCCCCCGCTGGTTCCAAGTCCAGCGACCACCTTGGTTGTAGTAAGAGCGACCGCGATTGCCATGCCCTCGATCCCTCCATGTCCCTTGCATGGCATAGCCGCTGGTGCTGTTATCACCTCCGCGCAGTGTATAGCGACGAAAATCTTCTTCCAGAATCTTGGTGCAAATCCACTCCAATGTCCATTGACTTTGGTTTTGTGGCAAGCTGAGTCCGCTTATAAATTGCAGCCAAGACTCGGGCAGCAGGCTGAGCATCTTGAGACACTTAGTCTGCTCAGGGTACGTGATGCCTGCAATCGCCAATTTCGCGTAGAGTTCCCTCATCTTGTCCTGTGCGGGCTGCACAGGTTCATTCTCGCTCAACCGCAGCATGGACAGCTCCCAATCCAGTATGAGAGAAGCGGCAACCGATGTCGGAGCGTGCAGGTCCTTGAGCACTGCCCATGCCTTGGGCCCACAATCAGTTTCCGGTAGCAGATGCATGATGTGATGCCTC